CAAGACTCTTTGTCAGACATATATTCTCAGAAGGAAATGCATAGTGCGCATAAAATATTTATGAACATTTCTGACACTGTAACTGTAACTGTGTAAAAGCCAAAATAAATACCAAGTGTTCCAGCTATACAATATACAGTGCCTGATGTGTTTATTGCCGTATTTGCTATGACCAGTCTCTTTTCTGTTGTTTCTCCAGTTACTGCGTTATTCCAGGGAAATGAATAACACAAGGGGAGAAGGGTGCATAATGACTTCTACGCTGTAGGGGATTGTCTGAACTAACACATGGATCATGCTCTACATCTCTTGAATCGGTGTTGGAATCTTTGTTCAGGGTGTATTGTGCAGAGAACACGTATAGGGTGAGAGACAAGTTAGTGTGTATCATGGGCACTTCACACTGTTCAGTTCATAGCTTTGAGTGTCAAAGAAGAGCTAAAGACAAGAATTTGTCCCCTAAGAAGCACCAAAGTCATAATGATTCTATTTCTATCTGCACTATTTAGCAAGTATTGTTAGCTGGATTTCATTCTTCAAGTATGGAAACATTTGGGAAGAAGATGAGAACACCTGTAATCCTGTGCTGCCGAAGTCTCACTTTCGCTTTTGCCAGAAAGATAATTAGACCACATTTTAAACAGTCATAGCATTCTCAGGCTGTCTATGATTATTGATAGAAGATTTGTGTGTCTGATGGGGTAGAGGAACAAAGAGGAATGGAACTCAAAATACCCACCAGTCACTAAAACGTTTGAAGAGATGTATATGAAGACTGCCAGTTTGAAATTTTAAATGTGAATCTTGCAGAGGGAAATGTAATGCAATCCATAATTGGAAGCAATTTAAAAACGGAAGATATTAGTTGGAAAAGGGAAAATTTTCTACTGAGGAGGGTCATTTTGGGAGGTCAGTATTTTCTGTCATTCCCTCCATGGGATCAATTACTGAGCATAATATTTTACATAATAAAATTCTGGACTCCCTTCTCGGTTGTTGATATTTCATTTGTGTATGCTCAGAGGATGTCAATGATGACAGCCTGTTATTTCTTCAACACAGAGATTTTGATTATGTCTTGTTTTATGGTTAGTATTCAATTTTCACAGGAATGTTTTCCAACCCAGAAGACAACAAATATTGGACTGACCTAGTAATTGTTCTTTCCGATATTTCCTTTGGGCTCTAGTTGGATCTGAGTTGTTATTAACATAATTAGGCCATCATAAATCATTCTGGGTTAGTTTGCATGTGACATCACCATGGAGACCCAATGGGATGACTAGAATATGTTTTTGGACAATCTATATGTAGCTATGTTAACTAGTTTGTCATGAAAATAAAGTTTGTATACAGTAGTCTTTACAGTGTGACAAGGTAAAATATATCAAACCCTGATATAGCTGTTGAGGAAATTAGATTTTCATAGTGCTAATTGAATTTTTCATAAAGCTGATGAAAATTAACTAAAGAAAGAGCAATATATTTCATTTTATTGAGCACATCTCAGAGTGCTTGTAATTTCTAGGGCCACTACACTTTCTGGGCAGGCTATCAAGTAGGATGTTGTAATGATTTGCATGACTACTATAGTAGATGGAAAAATGTAGCTTGTGTTTGTAGCTGTTCCATTAGTGTCTTGCACAGTGTGAGCTCCTTTGATGCTCTTCAGAGAGCTGTGTCATAATCCTAGTGTCTTTTAAAGAGTTCTATCTGGTGAAGTCAAGTAACTATACACCGCTTAAAACTTAGTGCGTAATTAAATGATGAGACAAAGGAAAGACTGAGAAAGGCAGATAGCCAATAGAATCTTGAAGTTATCAAAACAGAGCTCTTGCCAAGGACCTTGGAATTCATCTGATTCAGTTGCTGGAAAAATGCCTGAATTAAAAATTATCCTATGAGGACCAAGAAAATAGAGCCAAATTCTGGCACTGTCCAGTTTTCTCCCAAAATGGACATTAATTCTGCAAAAACAGAATAGGGTGAACAACCCCTGGCCCCATGCTTGGCCCCCTACTTTGGGCTCTATCTACCAAAACAAGATGGAATAGAAGGTCCAAAATGATGGAGGAAAAGGGAGGGGAGGCAGTAGAGCTTGGAAAGGAAGGTGGTATTTAAAGAAAGAACTCTTAGGCTATGCCCCCTGCCAGCACTGAAACACTCAACTGCAGCTCGCAAAGCACCTGTTGGCAGCTGTTGAGGTAGTTTATAGTTTTTGGGACAGAATCAGGATAGAAAACTTACAGTCTATGTTCCCTTTTGTGACATGATTTGGCCTTATTTTAGCAAAATAGAAGTCATTGCTGGCAATAGTTACAGCAATAAATATACCTGGTCAGAAATAACAATGACATCTTTTGCTTTCTAGGAAAAATAAAACAAATACTAAATTGCATGCTTTTTAGTTACTGTCATTAATACTGATATTAATAGTCTTTGACTGATATCACCCATGTTGTTCTCCTTTTATCCAGAACTGAAAAACAAGTTTTGCATGGAGTGGAAAGAAAATATGACAAAAAAATGGTCACAAATATTAGCCTGATCCTGTCATTAGACACAGTGTAAAGAAACTAGGTGTAAGCAGTTACCTGGCCAGTTTTATGTTTTGCAAGCTTTAAACATTAGAGTGAATGATAGAAAACAAGGAAAATTACATATGTTAAATTAAAACACAAGTATTTTACATCAGGAATTCAGTTTAAACATTTTAACATCCTCACAAACTTCCATGTAAACTCCTGTTAAAATACATTTAGCTGAAAATTTTAGCATTACATTTTATGCTCTTCTTCTGTTACTAACTCCAAAACTTGCATTTGTGTACATAACCTTTCGTAGTCCCTTGTTGTTGTAGAAATAGATTATTCTTCCTCAAGAGAAATATATAACAATTATCAGTAATATATGTATTCAATATGTAAAGCATATCAAGCAGAAAATAGATGGTTATTTTTAAATATCGGCATTTATTATAGGCTGAGCTAAAGACTCTATTGCTTTTATTGGCTATCTCTCCTTTGACTGTAATGAGAATCTTCTCTCTGCTAGTGCTTTGATTCAGTTTAAAATGCTTTCTTATCTAAGTACCTGTATTACTCAGAAAGTTTCGTTAAAGTTGAAATAGAAAGTAGATAATGTTTTGGAATTTAATCTTTTCTTATATAAACTTTAAAAAACCCACAGTTTTCCTGTGCTACTTGAAACACTAAATTTATTAGTTCTAAAATAATTGAAATTTGAAACTTTGAGGCTTCCTTAGATTTATATTCAGTAACGAAAAAAAAAAGAACTCAACTTTATGACATTGCAGTGTCAGACACTACATTACCCAGGCAGAGCCTGGTTCCTGCATGAACCCCACCAAGGGTCTTTCTCCATCAAGCCTGACAAAGAATAGAGCCAAACTGTAAATTCCGTTAGTTCGCTTGTGTGTGGAACATTTCAAAATGAGATTTTCACTTTGTGTTAGAGTTATTTCTTTGCCTTGCTTAGACAGAGAAAATAGTTGAGTATCCTAGCGTGTAAGAAATTGTCTTAGGTATTAGAAACTGTTATCTTTAGTGATAACTGAGTTCAACTGTATTCTGAGCCATTAAAATAAGAGGACAGGATCTGGACCTTAAGACAGTGATATCTGAAGAAGGAGAGCATCTAGTGGAATGTAAGTGTGTGCTTAAATTCAGTGAGAGTGTATAGTATGCATAAAGAGAGGAATTTGTAGATATTTTAGCTTGAATAAGAATGCTTGCATTAATCAAGATTTTTGGAATTTTAACCCTAAATCACCAAAATACTCATTCTGTGTTACAGAAAGTTTGTAATTATTTTTATTATAATAATAAATAGATGAAATAGATGTTTACAGTCATTACAGTAAGTACAGTCTTCATGAATTGTTTTTGCATGCTGTAGCATTAAATTTATTAGTGTGGATAAGAGGCCATGGATGCTTAAGGGTCTTAATAAACCAGGCACAGAAAGTTCAAAAACATGAGAATCTAATACCTTGGACATACAGATATGTATTTTCTCAGCATTTCAAAATCCTTTCAAATTTGTGTAGTTGGTTTTATTACCTCTGCACACTGACATCTCAAAAACACACTTTTTCTGTGATCCTTGTAAGTACATCTTTTTGGGTTTTTTTTGATGAGGGTGATATACAAAATGGACAGATGAGTAGACAAGCCTAGAAAATCTGAGCAAAAGTACAGAAGCTAAGAAAATTCTCCCTGGGCAACGTGTGCTGGGAAGCATGGGCAAAACGTAGGTGGTAAACTTCTGGACTTTCCATGAGGTGTCAGATGGGTGGAAAAAAGTAACGGAACCAACTTTGAAGCCAGCGTTGACAGGTGCAGACTTCCAGATCTGTTTTTCCTCGGCATTTGCCCTTTCTTTTTCACACCCTCCATGTGTGAATGCTAAGTCCCCAGCATGCAAATTTTAGTGCTCATGATGAGCGGTGGAGGCGGGATGGGGAAAGCCAGCACTATGTATCAACACAGAGCATGATAGGATGAAGAAACAATAAGGCTGCAGCTCAGATGGGCAGCTCAGGAATTAGCTGTCCTCTTAACATCAAGTTTGTTTGAGACCCCAGCACTGTCTTGTGGTGTCCTTAGGGATTACTCTTATATGACAAAAAAGCCAACCTGAACCCTCCTCCTTCACTACTTTCAGCAAGACTTAATGTATTTATTTATGATGGCAATCGAATATTCTTGCTGTTCAGTCAGAAAACAGAGCAAAAATTATGATTAAGTTGATCATTTAGCTTAAGTCCTCACTTTCCCTGCTATAATGAACAGCTAGCAAAATTTACCGTCTAGAATCCCCGAGAGTGTTTAATATACAGAGTATATAAGTACTGTATCATCAATGATATTTTTAGATTTTTATTTATTTTTCAAACCTAAAAAACTGATCGAGTCAATGAAAATTAAACTACTATTTGTACAAATTTTAATTAAGCCTTTTTTATTACTATTTTATAGGTCTTGTAGAAATTTGCCTGATGCATCCTCTTGACGTAGTGAAAACAAGGTAAGATTCTGCTTGAACAGGTTTTGTTGACTTTGGAAGATATCCAGATTAGGAGCTATCAAAAAAACAAAATGCTAGAACTTCTCACAGGATAACTTGTGCCTTTAATGGCTTTTATATTTACTTACCTGTATCTACAGTGTTTGACAGATGGAATTTGGATACTATGACACATTTCTGATTGGAGGTCATCTAAAGGTGCTCAATCTGTTTTATGACGTGTATTTTCGATGTTGTAACAAAATCCTATAGATGAGCAGAGATGTACTTAAATTAATTTGCTATATGTATCATCTGCAGTAATACTTTTATACCCTGTTGGGAAATACCATATCACCTCCAAAATAGCTTTAAAAGATTTTTTAGTAAAACAACATGTTCCATCTTCTGTCTGTAACTTCATGCTTTTATCTATTTTTATCTGTCCCTATTTTGTTTTCCAAATATTTGTGTTTCTGTGAGTATAAATTATTAAGTGACCTGGAAAATGTGGGCAAATTAAGGTTTTTTAATGTTGATTACTGAAAAGTAAAAATAATAGTTGTGTTTCTAGTTTCTTGAATATATTTTTGCTTTTCTGTGATTTTTAGTTTTCATATCAATTTGTGATGGTTTCCACCTGTGAAAAACAAACCAGGATGCAGAAGCATACAATAAGGAGAAAATTTTTCATGGCATATGTGTTACATGTGATGCCAATAATTGCCATATACTGCTCCTGGAGTTCTATCTAGTTCTCATCACCTAGGCAGGAAAGCTTCAGTATGAGCTGAATCAGCCCCAAACAAATGATGAACATATTTGATATATTTGGTATTTTGATATGACCACAGCTGTGGTGTCTGCAATATGCTTGAAGCAGTCAACTTTGACTAAAGGTTCTAGTTCCAGTTAGCCAGCATGTGAGCTTGTTAAGGATGTATTTTTGGCTTCTGTTTAAATCACGTTCTGTAGTTTGCTTAAGACCTTGAGATACACTATTCTGCAGCTTGCATTTTGCAGGAGGAAAATGCCCAGCACTAGAAGACAGTAATGTGGGCTCCATCCATACTAACTGCTGCTGAGGTGCTTTAGGTGTTCTTCAGGGCTTGGAGTTTAACTCCTGGGTGACTCAGGCAATTCTTCTGTATCCTTTCGTGATATGGAATATATTGATTCATATAGAGACAGTACACCTGCTAGTTTCAAGGATCCTGTCTGCCCTTCCAGGTAGCACTGAGACCTTGCTATTAACAAAATTAACAGCGAAAGATTGAAATTAAAGCCACAGAAAAGGCAGGGTACAAACAAAACAAAGACCAAATTTAAAATAAAAACAATTGTTTTGCTCTGCTGTCATGTGGTCCTCATGGGATGTGCTTTAGTGACTTCATTTCAGCAGGTTGTGCTGTAACTCACCCATAGCTCTCAAGCTTTTGGTTTTACCTCTTCCTGTTTTTCTCTTTGTACTAAACCAGGAGTCATGTTCTTCTGTAATATAAATACAGCATCAGATTTACTTCTCCTGTCTTTGGTGCTTTGAGCTTGTCATCCCACACATCCTCATGCCTCCAGTCTTGGTTGAAACAGCTTAATACATATCCTTAGAATCATTTGTGATTTAAGACATGCTACATATCATATATCATAAAAAGCATTAACTGAACATCTGTTCTGATAAATTGGCAATAAACAAATGTACTTTCAGCTTTCTGATAGAAACCACACATGCAGTGGACTTGCAGAATCCAAGGACATATTTTCCCATTTCTATTCCAGATTTTACAGGGTTTGTCATACTTTCACCAGTGAAAATGCTGATCAGATCTGAGACCCAGGAATGGAAAGCATTAAGGAGTGTACAGGGATGTCTGTGAAGCTGTATCAATGTTAAAAAAGTAATAATAATTAAGAACCTTCTAAATGTGAAATCTGAGTCCATAAAGAGTGGAATTAATGAAAGCAGGAAAAGAAAGAACAGTAGGCGTGCAGGAGAAACCAGATTATGGATCATGGTGAAGCCAAGAGACTGAATCAAGTAAAAAAGCCATTAAGCAAATTTCTTTATCTGAAGAAACTTCAAGAGAAGTTAACTTTTCCATTGAATTAGCTGGAACACTTTTCAGAAGTGGGCAGCACCCAAGTGATAGTTTCCCTGTATTTTTTTAGTATAGATGTATTTAGACATATTATACAGACTTTGCAGTAACTTTTCTGCTGATCTTAGCAGATGTTAGTACTTGAAAATACTTACATTTTGGAAGCCAGTAACAAAACCAAGAACAGAATATCCTTGATCTTATCCATCATTCCATTCCATGTTCCTAATATCATGCCACTTCTTTTCACTTCATAATGGTCCAAATTTACTATAGCAGATTAATTCATTGATGGCTTTGAAGAAGTTCAAATAAAACATTGATTTTAATTCTGAATTTCAGATTCAGAATATTTTCTCATGCATTTTCATTTACTTTATATCTGTTTTGCAGTGCCTCTAAGTACTGCAGTGCACTTACAGTTTTCCAGCTTGGTATTGATAATCTGTCATTTCCTGACCAATTCCAGCTATTTCAGCTTTGGTGATTTGTTTGGGTTTTGTTTTGTTTTTTCCTTATGGTTAGATGAAAGGACATGTAAAAGCACATTTTGTTGCTTGACTTTTATGGTGGTTTGAGTTTCCTGCCATTTTTCTATAAAGTGTTTGTTTGGTGGAAAAAGTCCCATGGCCTTTTCAGATTAGTGGAATCTCAATCTTCCTTAGCGTTCTGAAGGAGTTTAGGGAAAATGCCGAAGGCTCACATCTAGTGGAATGGTGGCTTAACGTCTTTACTGCATTGTCTTGTGTGTGTGTGTGTGTTTTTAATAAAAATTGACAAAAATAAAGTTCCTGTCAGATATTATTTTGAAACCCTACAAAATGGTTTGGCTCTTTTGTGACAATGTTTTGCAATATCTTTTCTGTGTTTAGTAATTTTCTATTATTCTACAGTAACAATGCTAGGCTTGTTTGTCTCCTCACACCAAGGGAGGAAATATATATACATATATATACATATATATACATTATAAACTATTATAACAAGCCATATGCTTAATGGATTGGTTTTTGCTAAATGTGCATTTGAAAATAATTTTATTTTGTTATCTATTATAACACCAAGGATATTACTTTAAGAACTTAATGTGAGTGAGCTAGGTAGATGGATATGATTCATTCTTTTAGCTCTATGTATCCCGCTTATTCTTTGAAATAAAGCTTTTTTTCTCAATTACAAGATATATTGGTATAATTTCTGATGAGACAGCATTAAAAAAATGGTGCTAAGCTTTTGATGTCTCATTGTACCAGAGTCTCTGTTAGCTGGTTTATTTATCAGTTACCCTTATGATTAATTTAGCCATCTGTAGTATAAGGTACTCAATCTCTGTCCTTGTCCTCTTAAGTAAAAGTTTTACAGAATTTGGTAAGGAGTTATGTGTGTGCCTATGTATGAGCAGGGAGAGCAGTAACAAGTAAGATTTTTCTGGTACAGATACAGTTAAGACATGGAAGGCCTACTTTTCAAGTAAGAAACCTAGATCTTTCTTTTCTGGAAAGTGAGGAGAGAAATGCTTTTGTCTGGATAAAGAATTGCTACTGCTAAACCCAGGACAACTGATTTTGGACCATTTTTTGCCTATTAAATGTAATGCAGACTATAATCTCATTTTCTTCCATCAGACTTACCAAAGGATGGCAAAAGTGTATGCTATATCATGATACGTAGGGCAAGACATTGACATGCATATTACTTAGAAACAGTAAAGTTCTTTTCCAGCTAGACTTTATGTCTTAGTGGCAAATGTTTTGGCTTAAGCAAATGTACAAAATTAAGAATTTAATAGTTTTATTGTTGGAAAATTAATACATATGCAGCAGCTCACAGGTGTAGTTGGTGAGTGAAAGGGAGAGAATTACAGGGAGTTGCCTGTGCAAGTATTCATACAAACTGTTGAAACATATATATTGAAGCAGAATAGCCATTTTGGATGTGACTCTGTCTTGTGTAGTTAGGAAACAGAAACGATGCCTTGTAACTTTTTGCAACAGTTGTCTACATGACGGAATTTAATAAAAACCACATATGAATAAATGTATGATTAAGTGCTTTCAAATAATAGCAAAAAAAAAAAAATAACAAAACCACCAAAACCTTTCAAATACATAACACATCTGAAAAGATTTGTGTCTGAAAGTCCTGTGGACAGGAAAAATCTTATGTGGATTAGAAGAATAATTTACTTACCACTTTCATTTTGGGAGTAATTTGACATCACTGTACATTTTGAGACAAATATTTGAAAGAAAGAAGGTTCCTCTCATGTCGACCTAATAGGAAATTGTGCTCCAGATCTGTGTTACTGATAAATTAGTTCCTACCACTTGAGAATTCAGGATTTTTTACTTCAAGACAATGTATTCAAAGAGTGGTAAATGTTATCATAGGTAAACTAACATCTAAATGACTTGGAGAACGTCTAGTTTATTATGGAGAAAGTCTAGTTTATTATTTTATCAGGAAAATCATCAGGGTAACTTGTGTCATAACAAGTTAAACATATATTCAGTGGGTAATGTTTTAATACTTTTCTGGTTAATTCAAATAATGACAGTTCCACATGACTTTATTTTTTTTTTCTCTATATTTAAAAAATTTCTACTTTTTTCAGACATAATTGTGTCTTCATAACACAGCTTTACACTGGGATGTATGTGTAATTTAGAAAGCAATGCCTAAGGAGACCAAGGTGGCATTCTTTCCAAAGCATTTACTTAGATTTATCAGGAGAATAAGTTAATAAGTATAGCTTGTTTTCCTGATGAACCTGTTTTACCTCCCTGTTTTTTTGTTAAAGCTGTTTCTCACCTTTGGCAGAACCTGGGGAAGATGCAGTCCATGTTGCTTCTACTTTAATACCTTTTTACACAGTTCAGTGTTAGATCATAATTTTCATGTGAGCTGACTTTCCATCTTATG